AAGTTTGTAAAAATTATTTAAAAAAAATTTTATTAAATTTGGTCAAGTTTTTGTTAAGTTATTCTTGTTTAAAGTTAGAAAAAATTTTATTATAAAAAATTTGCTTGATTTCTATTGACTTACCCCCATATGGTGAAATTTTAGTTTGTATCAAATTTCAATTTCTATATGATTAAGGTCAAGTTAGTTTGCATTGAAAATTATCATGTTTAATTTTTATTATAATTATTCATGGAACTTATTTGCCATTCCAGTAAACAAGTATGTGGTTCTGGTTGAGTTAGCTTGCATCAAAATTAATTCTAAAAATTCTATTATTAAATATACTAATTCAGTATTTACAAAATGTAATCAAAATCATTAGTTTATAAGTTACTACAATAAATTTTGACACAGAACTTACTTTATAATGCATATATACAGAGTTGCTGCTCAATTCTCTAAAAGTTATTTCTGCCACTTATTTCTCCAATACAGTAATACTAACATGCTATTTCTTCTACTCACATTTTTTTGAGAAGATATATATTCAGCTTTCAACAAACATTTCGGCAAAATATGTAATTTGTGACACACACTGTTTCACAGATTATGCTGCTACTATAAACTGTATAAATAATGTAAATTATTAACTATAATTGATATTTTAGGCATAATTGCTTGTGTAAAAGTTCAGAAACCATGGTTATAAAATTTAAAGATTTTAGCTTAAACGTTTTTTTTATTATATAAACCTTTTTTCAACTTCTAATAAAGGTTATAGAGGAGAGTCTTGCGATAAAAATAGCAGTTAAAACATTAAAATCGACCTAGTAGATTATGAGATATAAGTATTTTTGCTTCACAATTATATGTTTTCTTCTTTATATAAATAAAGAAAGCATATAGTCATGAAGACTAAAATACTTATATCTCGCGATATACTAGGCCCATTTTAACGTTTTAACCACCATTTTGATTGCAAGACAATATTCTACAACTTTGATTAGAAGCTAAAAAGAGATTTACTAAGTAAAGGTTTAAAAAACACAACATTTGTATAATTTTATTAATAAAATTATGGAAAATATTAAAATCCACAAATTTTATTAATTAAATCTACCTTTATGCTCTAAGTAAACTGGTTTTACGCATAAAAATACATTATATTGGCATACGTTTACCTTATAACTTTAAATTTTAAGAGAAAAGATGCTTAATTTTGAATTTTTGATCAAAATTTCAAAATTAAGCATTTTTCTCTTAAAATTTAAAATTATAAGGTAAACGTATGCTGATATGATGTATTTTTTTGCATAGAACCAGTTTACTTAGAGCACTATAGTATATTAAATTAATACAATTTTGTGAATTTTAATATTTTCCATAATTTTATTAATAAAATTATGAAAAATATTGTGATTTTTAAATGTTTGCTTAGTAAATCCCTTTTTAGCTTATAGTAAAGTTGTAGAAGAGTGTCGTACGATCAAAATGATGGTTAAACCGCTAAAATCAGCCTAGTAGATCATGAGATACAAGTATTTTAGTCTTTACGACTATATGTTTTCTTCTTTATTTACATACAATTGTAAAAACAAAAATACTTATATCTTGTGATCTACCAGGCAGATTTTAACACTTTAACCACTATTTAGATCACAAGATACTCCTCTATATCTTTACTTAGAAGTTGAAAGAAGGTCTGCTTAGTAAAAAAATAAGTTTTTTATTCAAAGATAATTAATTATATTATTATATTCAAACTCAAACTAGTTTGTAAACTTCAAATCAAATCCAAATCAAATCCAAATATAATGTTATTGAACTCAAACTGAACTCAAACTAGATATAATTTTTAAAAAGTTTGAGTTTGAATTTGATTTGATTTTCAAACCAAATTCAAATTTGCTTAAAGTTGGTTTGGTTTGGTTTAATAGGAGCACTACTCATAACTAATGGAACCTGTCTTGTATTTTTATTGTCTGAAGCATTGCAAAGGTTACTCTGTTTTTATGATAGACTGTGATCATTGAGATTATATAGAGTTGTCCTTCTATCCACTTTTATGAATGCTGATTGGTCAAATATTTTCTATATCAATTAGAGATACAAACTGTTTGCTGATCCTAACAGTTTTTAGTCTGCATTACAGTTAATTTGGGCTAAAAACTTCTAGGATCAGTAAATGGTTTGCATCTCTTACTAAGTACTATACCAGGTTAGTAAAAAGTTTCTATACTGAACTTTTTTTTTTTAATCACTTTAATAATGATCATTATAGTATTATACAGTATATAAATTGTATTTAAAATTAAGTACTATAAATCTTAGCAGAAATAGTAAAAAAAAGAAATCTGTATATACTTTTCACTTATTTAGTATACACTCTTATGCTCCAGATTTTTACTAGTTTTCAGTTTCTAGTAATATCACATATTTATATTAATGCTAGCTTGCATTTTGCAGGTAAGAAACCACTAGCCAGTGCTAAGCCACACAAATTCTACTGCTTATAGTGAGCCCATTGCAATATTAATTTCTATTTCTAGAAGCCTATTTTGTATTAGTTTAATTATGCATAATAACAAACTACAACTAATGTAAAATGCATTCAACAAATAAAATTCAACTTTGGGCATATCTATATAGATTATTTTAACTTTGCAATGTTTTTAAAAAGTAATACTATTAATTAATAATTGTCAATTACCCAAATAAAGAAAATAAAAGTCAGTAATATTAGTATTAGTGTCATAGTGTTTATCAATACTCCATATATTCATAGTGCCAAAGTTGAATAGTGGTATCTATTTAACTAGTGATTTGGTGATTAAATATTGTGATCAGGGTTTAAATGAATAGCATAATTATAATTTAATAAAAGTTTAATTAATATAGTAATTGTATAAATAATGTAATAAATAGAAGTAATTAGTATTATATAAATAATGTAGTAATCATTAGCAATGAGAATGTTTGTAATAATTAGTGATGCAAATATATATTATTAGTAATTAATAAAAGACATTGATTTAAATATTTGAAGTGTCTAATCTTTGTTTTAGAAATTATCTTGATACTTAGTAAATAAACTGTTATATCTGTGTAGTATTTTGAACTATTAACTGAAAGTTCAATCTGGGCTGATCTGGGTAAACTTCTAGGCATTTCTAGCCAATTGCTAATGTTTGTTTATATCAAGTAAAATAGAATGTGTCAATTCTATTTTATCTGATATAAACAAACATCAGTGATTGGCTAGAAATATCTAAAAGTCTACTCAGATTAGCTCTGGTTGAACTTTCAGCTAACGGTTTATAATACTATATCTGTGTAAATATATAGTAGTATCTGGAACAATAATCCAGTTATCATAAATAAAAAGCCAAGTGAGTTAGACCTGTGGGTCGATAGCATAGTGGTTATGCTCCCAGGTTACAAATCGTAAAGTTGCCGGTTCAATTCCTCCTAGTGGCGAAATAATGAAAAACCAAATATAGAAGTGATACACCACGGGGTACAGGGAACCCGAGATATCTACAGATAGACGTATTCGGGAAATAATTATTCCGAGAAGCTGTGGCTGTGAAGAAAAGCCGTGCTAGAACCCCGATTTGGAATAACCGAAGTTACAAGACGTAATGCGAGGTCTAAAAAGTCTAAGAGGGTACTACATGAACTCGTGGCACCACCCGATTGGCTCGTGAAATAGCGGTCCAAGGATAAGGTGTTTCGGCCTCTCTGGAGTGTCGTGCAGGCGGTCGGACCTAGACCCCAATGAGGAAACTGAGGAAATGTTGGACAATGGATACCAGGTGGATACACATGATACCCGTATGGGGTTATGGAGGTCCTGTGACACTAGTAGTATAGAGTCAACTATAATATAGCTGGACCAAAGTCATGACTAAACTTGCTGAAGAAATAAAAAAAAAAAAAAAAAAGCCAAGTGAGTAAAGACCAATAATAAAGTTAAAGAAGTACACAGTAATCTAAGAAACTCTATAACACAAAGAACCTGGCTGGGTAAGTGAACAGAGCCTCACTAGATTACTCAGTTAAGTTTTTGAATCAGAAAACTTAAAATGCAAATAGTAATTCTTGAAAAATAAACATAAAGAAATGACAAAACTTATGAACTTGTTGAAGTAAGCATTAAGATTTTGAAGTCAAAAGTCAAAACCAAATAACAGTAGTTCTCTTGTGGTATATTTGTAAGTTAAAAAACAACATTAGTGTAGTGTTATAGTAAGATAAAATAACAAAGAATGATACTATCTGAAAAATAATAGAGTAATAGTGTGATGCATCCAACATTTGATGATCCAAAAAAGCTATTTTATAATTGTGGTGTTGTTGAAATAATAGATTTTCATTGGGACTTTGAAAAGTATGCTGAATTGAAAAAGTGGAATAATAACATAAAGTAGAATAGAGTTGTATTGTACATGTCAAAGGGTCAAATGTCATGGGTATAAAAGAAGATCAAAAAGTGTGTTATGTGGTACAGTTTAAAGAAGGCAATAATTAAAGGGGTTGTAGAAGTAAAGAAAAGTTTAACTATCTGATGCAAATAAAGCAAGAGCAAGATAAACCTGTATTAATATATACTTACTATTATGAGATATAAATTGTGTTAATAAGACAGGTGATTTGAGATTATGAAGAGATGTTCTGGTTTGTATTTAGGTTGGAAGAATTATACTAATGGAAGGTTAGGATAATGTATATGAAGAAGCAAAGAATTTTGTATTGACAGTTGAAGCTGAAGATAATCAGAGATCAGCTGAGATAGAAAGTAATAATGCAATTAATATTCTTAATCAACATTATCAAGATAAAAGTGAAGCCAAGAATGAAAATGTTTTAGATGAAGAGTACAATGTGACCTATGATATAATTAATGAATATTCTAATGATGATAAAAACCAGAAATGTGAGATAAATAGAAAAGGTTACAATAAACCTGATAATGTCATTGCTGAAATGGATAATAAGTAGTTGGATAATTTTGAAGATAAAATCAATTGATTGTTGTTGGCCACAAGAAATAATGAAGATTGTGAAATCAGTCTTGAAATAGATAATCATAAAGCATCAAATATCTGCAGAGATGGGTTATGATGATAGAAAGAACAAACCTGAATATTGTTATTAAAAAAGAAATGTAGTTGAAAAGGATAAATACAAGGTATTCAATTGTTTCCAAAAATCTGTCAATATGAAGAATGTTGATGAAGCAATATGAAATAGAGTTGCTAAAGTGAAAGGTGCTGATAGAATAATGTATATAAAAGGAGAATCAAATAAACTTCTTCAGGATAGGGAATCAATGAGTGTTGTTGATGAAATTTCATTGAATCTTGTGAACTTTATGACAATTTGTTGCTGGTAGTAGATTTATAAGCAATATATGGATAAGTATAAATGTGGAAGAAATAATGTTTATACCAGAATGACAGATGTTAAACAAAGTAAAAATAGTCTTAATGATAAGTGTAAAAGGTGAATGAAGAAGGTTTGGATGTTTAGGAATGAGGTTGGAGACATAAAAGTAGAGGGCAATTGGTGAAAAGCCTTGAATACTTCGGGATGAAGTACTTGGGGTCGAGCTCAAGTGTCGCAATATTTATCAATACCCTATATAGAGTTGAATAATGGTACCCATATAACCAGTGATCAGATACATGGTAATTAAATATTATGATCAGGGTTGTATGAATGGCATGATTATAATTTAATTAAAAAGTTTAATATAGTGATTGTATAAACAATATAATAATCTGAAATGATTAGTATTGTGTGAATAATATAGTAATTATTAACAATAAGAATGTCTGTGATAATTAGTAACACAAATATATATTATTAGTAATTAATAAAGGCATCGATCCAAATAGGGAAGTGCCTAACTTTCATTCTAGTAATTACCTTGATACTTAGTAAATAAACTGTTGTATCAGTGTGAATACATTATCAGTGGTAGTATCTGGTACAATACTCCAGTTATCACAAATAAAAAGCCAAGCAAGTAAAAACTAATAGTAAAGTTAAAGAAGTATATGGTAGTCTAAAAAACTCTGTGACAGTTAGTATTACTTAAATATTTTGCTAAAGAAAGAAATTCATAAAATAGGCTTTTTTTATTTTTATTTTTTTTTATTCAGTTGTTATCTTTTATATTGTACAGCATATATAATTTATCATTCTTCATTATGTTGCTCTTAGTTTTATTAGGTTAATTTTTTAGATATTTTTATGATAAATTGATAATTTATAATTATATCAAAGACTAGAAATGGGTTCATAGTCAAACCCATCCCTATCAAAGATATTTGCAATAAGATCTTTTTTTCTTTTATTATAAAAAATATATTATTTGATAAGGAAACTTATTTTAATTATATTACACACAAAAATTATTAGTTAATAAATTCACATAGCAGCTAAAAATATCTAAATATTCATCTGAAGCTTCACAAAATAATGAAATATTATCAGAATTATAACAAGAACTTAATCAATCGACCTCTATCAACAGAACTTCCAATCATGCATACACTCATATAACATTAAAACAAGGCACTCTCGAAACATCTTTCGGCAGCATACAATGCAATACTTGATACATAAAAAATAAACAGTATGTGATAGTTAAGATCACGTGGACCAATCAGATCCAAGATTTTGTGGATACACGCCATTTCGATTGCCATATAATAGTGATGGCGAAAGCTACGGGCACAACATTCACGTGCTTATGTGCACAGCAATGACCAGCACTACTATAATACACTTACCCTAACGCTAACTCTAACCCTAACCCTAGCCAATGCTGTGCACATAAGTCACGTGAATGTTGTGCCCGTAGCTTTTCCTAATAGTTATGCCTAACGAAACCATGTGATGCTAATTATCACGTGCTATTACTTATAAAAATCAAAATAGTTTGTCAATTTTTATATATTGTACCATGTGACAATTGGCATCACATGGTTTCGTCAGGCATCACTACCGTATAACCATACACTACGTGATATGCATCACTCCGTTCAACTACCCCTAGATCGCCACCAAAATTCCACCCACACGTGATCAGGATCCAATCACATTTAAAGATCAGGTGTAACGTTACACGATCAGGAAATTTCAAAACAAACGTTCGTTTTGACAAAAATCGTCATTTCACAAGAAATGGCATATCAAATCACCTTCTGCGCATTAACAAAAAGTTTTCCTTGAGCGATTTTACTATAAAAACACTCAAACCCAAACCCTAACATAGGTACTCACCCTAACCCTAACCTGACAAAAAGAAAAACTTAACGAATTTTGTTATTGGTCACGTGTGGGTGAAATTTTGGTGGCGATACAGGGGAAGAACACTCCGTTCCTGGTATGGGCGAGTTAAATCAGGATACAATCCATTTAGGGCAATACCCAATCAGAGGCCAGTATTTATACACACCATTTCACTCTTCAGATAACCATACACTTCATTGCATTCCGTTCCTGGTAATAGTAAGGGAGTTATAATAAATGCTAACTTGTTACATATTAATTTTAGTGCAATTTTAGTGCAATTCTGAAATTTCATTGATTTCTTATTATAAATCATAGGAAAACAGGTGGAGCTTTGTATTAATGATGATGAGAAATTGTTTAGTGTTTTTTTTGTAGCCTTTATAATTATTTGTTATGTCGTGGTGTTATATTAGTACAAATTTTCGAAGATTTTTATATACTTAATATGATGTATAAAGTTTTATTATTTGATCTTTTTATCACAATTAATTAACTAGCTTCTTATCTTAATTTTTGTTTAATTATTTTACTTCTAGTTAACTAATCTATATTGTAGGTCTCCGAGAACACCAATTAAACTTTCTCCTTGCATCGAGGTCCGATTTAAGAGTTACACATAATCTATTAATCTCGGAAGGTCGATTGCTATCAGTGTTCACACGTCGAACCAACTTATATTAATGTGCTACAAATCGATTTGGTACGGAGATCGGATATAAGGTAATAGGAATAGCTATATATGGGAATAATGGAGGGAGAGTATAAAGAAACAAATAAGAAAGGGGCGAATGATAAAAATATGAATAAGGTGGGACAATGGAAGAACAATCGGAAGTAGGGATCAAACGATAATTATAAGGAGTAATAACAATAAGACAGGGACGGAAATAAAGCAATGATGCAATATTGGGGAGCAGAAATGTTACTGTACACTTAAAATCATGTCTGACTTTACTCATAGAATCGGTTCTACCCTAAAATCCCGAAAGACAGATTCCCGAAAAAGACATAATACCGACAAAGTTAGCCAGCATTAGTTATAATGCTGGCCAATTTTAGTCGGTATTATGTCCTTTCGGGAAAATGGCTTTCGGGATTTTAGGGTAGAACCCATAGAATCGTTCCAATGTTGTTTTTTTTTTTAAAGTGAGCAAAAAGATTATACTTTAAAACCTCAAATACTGCAATTTTTAACAACTTACAAAAACCTTATTTAAATAAAGTTTCGTATTAACTGTTGATGCAAGATACCTTAGCTGCCGCAACAAAATTGTCACAGCAAACTATCAATTTTGATTGGCTGTACTAAGACGATCATTGATTTTTTTTTATATGGTTTCTCATCGGCTATCCAATTAAAATTAATAATGAATTTTATTTTAATTCAAAATTTGTAGAAATAAAATAAAAAAAAATTCATTGAGTTTTATCAGGTCGCTTTATCGAGAAAACTTCAATTAAAGCTAAAAAAAAAATGAAAATCTTTGAAAAAAGATCTAGTAAAAATCCACATTCGTTTATAATAAAATCTCAATAAATTTCTAAATCTCCTAATTTCATATTACTGTATAACACAAACATCAGAGTTAAATTATGCATGTCCGTGGAATGCTCTCCAAACGATGGTAACACTATCCAAAACTTGAACGCAAGTGTTACACCTTTTTTTTTGTTCAACTTTAAATAAATATTTTGTAATATATGGTTAATCGAATTTGTAAAAACCTCTATTTTAATTCTACAATCTGTAGAATTAAATTGTTTAATGGTTATCGAGAAATTTTCATTTAAACATTAAAAAACCATGATTGCAGCCGTTTTTCACTTTAGGGTGGAATTTAAGAGAGAGCACATTTCATACCATTGATCAAAGGTTAAAACATGCCCTTATATGCATGTTGAAAGACTATGAGTAAACTGATATAATAACACTGGAGACTGCAATTTCATGGAAACTACGTATCCTAACACTGTTTTCTTGGAATCGTTTCTCAACTATATACTGCCAAATGAGGAATATCAACGATAATCCAAAACCTTTAACAATATCCAAAAACGGCATAATTTTTACAGGCAAAAATGAAACTGGGATCATAATCACATCCCATTTACCACCAAATTAAACAAGCCTTAGCGTTAGATGAAAACAATAATTTTTCCTGCCACCAGATTTGGAAGGTCGACGATACATAATCCAAGCCTCAATTAATTAGGAATTTGTTATAACAAGGAAAGCAGTGGTATCTTGTGATCATCACATCAAATGATTAAATACTCGCCTAAGTTATGGCTAGATAGTTTAGGCCGATTTGTTAGTGCTGGTAAACAAATGACGTCTTACATGCAGTAATGAATGATTGGATAATGTAAATCAATTGCCTGGGTAACTTATTTAAACACTTTAAAGTATTTTTTGGTAGCACAACGGTTTACTACGTGATAAAAAATCTTGCAAAAGCCATTCATAATTTTAGATTCAACTATGCAAAAGGAACTGAAAATGATCTTACTCCGGAGAAGACAAATTTATTTGTCTTCTATTGAATTATGCAAAATAAATAAGATATACAGTATATACTGTAGATCGCGAACGTTTTGCTAAAGGTATTTCTACTATATTGTATTCGAAGAAATATGTTTAATTTAAACAAAACATTAATAGAGCTAACTCTCTTTGTAGTAATTCTTCTTGATATATTATTACATATAACATTTCTGGGTTTATTAATCATCAATATTTGTAGATACGTATTATGTTGTGTTTTATAACAAATATCATATTTCACACATATCTGTTTTATAAATACACAAAATTTTTTCGCTTGTTTTCATCTATTTATACGAGATTCTTTTGAATAAAAATTAACCAATCAAATGAACTTCTTCCTTTGAGATAATCAGTGGTTCATTGTTCTTCGAGTGTCCCGATGTGCGAAAGTATGAAATCGAAAGTATAGAGTCCACAATATTTTTAGAGATTGCCATAAAAAATGTAGTAAGCTAAAAGTTCTACTAAAGCAAAATACATTATTATTAATTAAAAATTGAAAATAGTCGTTAATGAATTGAATTGTTCATATTTGTGTATCGCCAAGTGAAACGTACAATTTTTAAATAGTTTATTATGAAATTCATAATAATCTGTTTTTAAATTGTCCGTTTTCACTTGGCGAACTCATTTACTAATAATATCAACCATAATTAAATGATGCAGTTTTTGGATTGCACTTCGTTATAAAGTTCAAGCACATAATTCATATATGTACC